CACATCACTCAAATTTCACGATGGTATATGGTACGCAAATAGCGAACTAGTTGCTGGGGCGAATCTAAACCAACATACATAACTGGGGGGCCCACATTGTGGTTGGTGGTTTCAACCTACCCCTCTGAAAAATGATGGACTTCGTCAGTTGGGATTATTGTTCCCAACTGAATGGAAAAATAATCCAGTCATGTTCCAAACCACCAACCAGATATATTGTTATTCCAATTATTAACCATTATCCCAGTATTAACCATAGATTAACCATCGATTAGCCATAGATTAGCCATAGATTAGCCATAGATTAACCATAGCACCAACCAGATATATATCCCAATTACTTACCATCGTCCAATGACATCTTGAAGGACTGCCCGGAAATGCTCCAAGGCCTCACCAAACATGGGATATGGCTGTGTCTAAACTCTAAACAGGCTGTGGTAAATGTCCCATGGCTAGGGGATTTTGAACATCACCAAAACAAGTATCTGTTGTAGATTCTATCCCCAATATTTGGGTGATGTTCAATTAGGACATTTACCAACCCCTGCTAAAAATGGGTTGGAGCCCCCAAATTTTGTCGTTGAAGACTCTGCGGAAGGGAAAGTGGCGAGAAACCGCTGCCTTTTGGTGGTACCTTCTGGTCAGACAACCCCCCTTCAGCCATCATGATTCCCATAAACTTGAAAAGAAACAGTACTGTAATCACTGGTCAAATTTCCCACATTATAACCCCATTAAATGCCAATCTTAGATTATCATCCCAATTTAGTCTGTTGTGCTTTTTGTAATGAAATGCCAATAAAAATGGTAATGATACGTGATGATAATCTATAGATTACTATGAACCATGCCAATAATCATAGATTTAAGATTATTGAATGCCATATCATCAATATAAATCCTTGCCAAGAATCAATGCGGAACCACCTTAAAGTAAGAATAAGAACCACCACTTTATCCCCATTTTATCATCCCCATTTTCTCATAAGAAGGTGGCGACTGTTAAACTAAAGTATCATTCTCATTAGATGGTGGATTCCCATTTTATCATTACCATTTTGTCAGTCCCATTTATCATTCCCATTTTATCATTCCCATTTTATCATTCCCATTTTATCATTCCCATTTTATCACTCCCATTTTATCATTCCCATTTTATTATTCCCCTTTTATCATTCTATAGATTACTATGAACCATGCCAATAATCATACATTAAGATTATTAAATGCCAAATCATCAATATAGATCATTAAATGCCAAGAATTATAAGAACCATGGAAAACTAGTTATTTAACATAGCCATGGAAAATCCCTTATAAGTGGTGGTTTTAATGGGGAAATCATCTGTAAATGGACCATTTTCCAGAGGGTAGAAACCATGTCTACCTTAAAGTCGTCGGCTCCCCGCCTGTATGTCATGGCGTGAGATCCAGCACATGCCCTCCGCAGATTCAGCCTGATCCCAAGCTAGTTCACCAAGGAGTGAGGGCCGTTTCACCAACAAAAAAAACGTTAAAACATCTGGTTATGGAGTACTATATCCAAGATAATGGGGTCATTATTGGAGTACTATATCTAGGGGGTTGAATATCCAAGATAAAACCAATCATGTGGATTTTGGATATACCCTCTGGTTATGACTAACATAGCCATGGTATAGATGGCCCATAGAAATAGATGGTTTACCGAACTTAAAAATGGTGGATCGTTCCATGGCTATGTTAAATAACCAGATGGTAAAACATCTGGTGATATCATGTGATAGTAAAACAAAACCATGAAAAAACAATGAAAAAAACATGGGGAAAAAAAAACATGAAAACTATAGAATATGGTTTAGAAAACCATTACCCTCTGGTAAACATACAAAAAGCTATAGAAAAAGGCCATAGAAATAGTTGATTGACCCATTTTGACCCATGAAAAATGGTGAGTTTCCATAGCAAACTGTTAGTTTACCAGAGGGTAAAAGCCGTCTTTTTACATCTGGTGATATCATGTGATATCCCTCAACCCAATCAACACATGTGGATTTAAACATGATTTAGCAAAACCCATAGGATCCATGGTGCTGGTATATATGCTAACATGAATGGAGTATATTGGTGGGATCCATGCTACCATATATATATATATAGCACCATGGATCCTATGGGAAAGAAATATGGGGATTTGAATGGAAAAATGAAGTCATACACACAGGCTGGGAACATACGCCAATGAGACAGTCCATTCAAAGATCGTCTAGGCAGACTCCCTGTGGCATCTCTATTTATACCCTCTGGTTATGACTAACAGTTCGCCATGGTATAGATGGCCCATAGAAATAGATGGTTTACCTATTGATAGCATGGTGATTTTCCATGGCTATCTCTTAAATAACCAGATGGTAATCCTTTTCATTGGTTGCAAAGTTTGTCAGGAGTGTGAAATGGGGTGACAACGCAGCTTAAGCTGCGAAACCAATACAGTACCAAGCCCTACTGGGTCTCGTTTCTTTGGACATGATTTATGATCAAGCCTGCCACATTGCGGCAAACCATTTAAATCCTTTTATTATATTTAATATATACATAATATATATATATATACATATACATATACATAATATATATATATACATAATATATATATACACATACATATAATATATATACATATACATAATATATATATATATACATAATATATATATACACATAGATATTATATAGATATACATATACATAATATATATATATACATACATAATATATATATATACATATATATATACATATAATATATATATATATACATATAAATATATATATACATATAATATATATACATATAATATATATATATATACATAATATATATACATATAAATATATATACATATAAATATATATATACATATAATATATATATATACATATAATATATATATATATATACATAATATATATATATACATATAATATATGTATATACATAATATATTTACATACATTATATATATACATATAATATATGTATATACATATAATATATTTACATACATTATATATATATACATATAATATATATATATATTATGTATATATATAATTTTGTGTCATCATTGAGCTAACTTCACACTATGCATGGGTTGTATTTTTAACCAGCCAATTTTGATCGATGTTGCCTCAGAGGTGCTTCACAATGACTCAACCGTCATTCTTTACCGTGAAAAAAAAAACGTTGAACCAGTTTTGAAACCATATGTCCAGCAAATGTGCAAGGTAGTGCCCACTAACAACATGGTAGATATTAACCGAATGTAGTTCACGGCCTGAAACTCAAGCAACAAAACTTTCACCTGGGCCTACCATGTAGTACTCGATCCTTCAAGACTTGTCCCCAGTAATAGACAACATCAATACCCTCTGGTAAACATACAAGCAGCCATGGCATAAATGGCCCCATTTATCAACAATTTACTCATATACACAGCCATATGTATATATATATACATACATACATAGCCATTTGAAAATGGTGGTTTCCATAGTTACATTAGCTTAAATGATTGGTTTACTCATACTTACTTACCAGTACCCACTAAAAATTGTGCTTTTTCATTAGTCATGTTAGTTTACTGGAGGTACTGTTGCCATTCGTTTGGTATTTCTCATGCTCCCTAGCCTGACAGAACGGATGAAACTCTGGAGAGACCTCATGGGATTTCAGAATGATCCCATACAAGGTGAGGCCCCCACATATATATAGAATCTGGTTGGTGGTTTCAACCTACCCCTCTGAAAAATGATGGAGTTCGTCAGTTGGGATGATGACATTCCCAACTGAATGGAAAAATCATCCATTCATGTTCCAAACCACCAACCAGGAATACTATTATAACCCCCACATTTGCCTTGGTTAAGGATGTCATGTTTTAGTTATAGACATGAGGGAGGCCTCAGCTGGTTCCCATGTCTGATTTCCACACCCAGGATCCAAGGCGCTCTTCACTCCAATGCCTAAAGCATCTGATGCCGCGCCGCTTCTGTCAGTATGAATGCGGCGAGTGAAACGAACTATTGCTGCATTAGCAAAGAAATTGCCATCCGCGATCCCCTCATGGAAAGCCTAGGGATGTGTCAAGGCAGATGGTGGCTGTCTTTCTTTTAAGATTCGAGCACGTCATTTTGGCATGGCTAATAAAGCGTAACCTGCACAAATAACCTGCAGAATTTCGAGCCCAAGGAGTTTTTACAACTGTACCTGCTCCCCTATATCTTTGCGCATCATCCTACCTGTTTCCTCCCGTGTCTGCCAAGAATTTCTACAAAACAAACTGCCCGTATCTGTCAAACTTACCTCTATGACTCTATGAATTAATCTCGAAACTTGAATCTCTATCAAATTTGTCCAAACTTATCTCGTTTATCTCCCCCTTGTGACCATCAAACAAACTTACCTCAAACGTATAATTCTGCCTTACGATCATCTCCGTCAAACTGATCCCGCTGGCAGACTCTCCAGCAATTGTGTTTGGTACCAAACTTACCCTCTGGTAAACTAACATGACTATGGAAAGATCCACCCATTTTCAATGGGAAAACTCACTATAAACTATAAATGGCCATGTTCAATAGCTTTTTGTATGTTTACCAGAAGGTACCTTAATCAAACTTTCTTGTACTACTAGTACCAAACTTCCCTCTTCCGCAGTCCTCTACCAATTCCTGTAACTGTAGCAAACTTATCTCTGTCAAGGTTCCCCCTATCAATTTTCCGTGTATCAAAGTCACTTCTCATCTATATAGACATCCCCATTCACATCACATTCACATCTCACATCTCATATCCTATCCCCACTTCCAAAGTCAATGGATTGGTAGGGAAAATATCTTCACCGGAAACCATCGATTTTCCCATAAAACAGGGGCTTTCCGGTTTCAATGTTCATTGACAACAATAGTATCCATTAGTATGGGGCTTACCTAATCTGTGTCCATTAGTATGGTGTCCATAGTTGACAAAGCCACCACCAGCCGTGGAGGCCGCGGCGAGATCAGAGATCTTCCAGGTTTTCATATTCCAACACTGCGCCCCTCACTAGCTGTGCATCGAGCGCCACACCTCCTGCACGTTTGGAAAATCTCTTGGTTTTTGATGGGGGCAAGGTTCTTCACTGGGCAACCCAGGGTTGGTTTGGAAACGTTCTGTTTGATTAAACATGTTGGAAATTTTCTTTTGTTGATACAAATGAGTCAACACATACCTATACATATCTATACATATCTATACCATGGCATTTTCTCCAGGTATAAATATAGATATCTATAGGTATAAATATATACATTTTCTCCAGGTATTTTTTATTTTCTATACACATACCTATACATATCTCACGCGGTTTTTCTCACATCATCCCCGGGATTTCACCCTCGGATCTGTTTCTCGGCTTTGGGACATTTTTTGCCACGGCCCTTTTTGGGTGAAATCTCTCCGGGTGGATTTCTGAGAAATTTCTCGGATCATCATTTTACCCTCTGGTAAACATACAAAAACCTATGGAAAATCACTATTTTTAATGGGTAAATCCACTATTTCTATGGCAGGCAATTTTCAATAGCTATGTTAATTTACCAGAGGGTAAAAGCCATCCAAAGATTGAAGAAACTTCATACAATATCTGGCTGGTTTCAACCTACCTACCTACCTACCCCTCTGAAATTAAAATCATGGAGTGAGTGAGTGAGTTCGTCAGTTGGGATGAAATTCCCAACTTTTTATGGAAAGTCATAATCCAGTCATATATTCATATATATATATTCATATATATTCACCATATTTTCCCAGATTTTCCCAACATCATCCCAAAATCGTGTGCCAGTCACCACCAACCAGATATAGATAGCTCTGAAAATGATTCGATCGACCTATGGAATCCAATGGACTGTACCAAGGAGGACTTGAAAAAATCTGCAACCAGCTTTTTTTAGCCATTGCAATGTCTGATTATAGTTGATTATAGCTGATTATAGTTGATTATAGTTGATTATCCAACTCCCTTCAGATCTTCCATTGCTTCAGCATTTGAGGTCTTTCTCCAAAAAAAAAAGGCCACGTGGAGGCTGTCGGCCCTTAAATGTCGTCCTTGGGGCGTCCCGGAAGCGCAGAGCACATTGCGGAAGAAGCGACAGTTCGAGGCGCATCTCTCCTGTCGTCGGTCTCCGAGTCGTCGGAGGTGGCAGTGAGTTCCGAATGGATTTTGGATGAAAACCACATGCTTTCCATGTTTCCCATGAAATATCTGGGGAGTTTCCCTCAAACCAATCCAATGAATGAAGAAAATGAGGTATAAAATGGGATGTGAAATGAGATAAAAACATAGCCGGATAACATAATTATAAATGCAGGAGATAGGATATAAAGACATATGTGCCATGTGATTGTCCTGATCTTGACAATCAGGAGGCAAACAATTTGAAAACATAAACACATATATATATATAATACATATATATATATATTCGATGAATAAAAATTACAGAGAACATGCTATCAACAACAAATAGTAAAAACACATTTCAGATTTTCAGACGACCATGCATAGAATCACTTGGCAAATCTGTGATACCCTTCAAACTTCAGTGAATCTCAGCATCAGGTGTTCCTTGTATAGCATAAATATGCAGAAATTATGATGATCTATGACAGTTGGAAAATATCGTGTTTCATACATATGGTGTTTTATGGTCTAGTATGTGGTTTTTCCTCAAAACATATTTCCAGTAACCTAATAATTATATACAGTACCCAATCTTGCCAAACAAAACAGGACTCGTCGACGTCTCAGTCTCTGTCAAGATGCTCACCATCATCCAATGGCTTTTGACCATCTACCACGTAGATTCATTTAGACTAGACGCATCTTTTTTAATGATATATTTTCATATAGATTGATTATTTCATATACTTCATATAGATATTCTACCATAGTAGATATGAATAGATTGAAATTCTGATCAACATCCCTCATGGATTGATGATTGATGACAATCTGTTAAAAATTTTGCCAGTTTACCAACGTGACTTCGCCAGGTGAGAACTTTCTGAAGTGACTAATGTCAGAACAGGATTTCCAGCTGGATTGGATTATGATGACATCACAATCTACCCTCTGGTAAACTAACAGTTTGCCATGGAAAGATCCACCATCGAATAAATAGGTAAATCAACGAACTAAATGTGCTTTGTTCAATAGCAAACTGTTAAATTACCAGAGGGTATTTGGCTGGCTGGAACCCCGAACTCATCTGGTTGGTGGTTGACCTACCCCTCTGAAAAATATGAGTTCGTCAGTTGGGATGATGACATTCCCAACATATGGAAAAATAAAAAATGTTCCAAACCACCGGCCAGTCATGGCTGTATATTGTATATGAGAAATCACAATATCACGGTTGATGAGTTGGTTGATCATCAATTTTACATTATGCTTGGTGATATTTGGTTGGATTATGATATATCATCGAAACATATGGTAGAACCCCGAACTCATCATCAACCAACCATATGTTTCGGTTTATATTTTCCCGTTCTTGGTGAATTTTCCAAAGACAAACAAAGATACCACGTTTTTTTCATATGCTCAAATCAATAAAAAAATGAATCCCATCCCCCCAAAATATTCAACACCGAAACCAGAAACCATGGTATAAAGTACTCTCTGGTTATGTCAAAATAGCTATTGAAAATGGCCATTGAAATAGTGGATTTTCCCAGCTATAAAATGGTGGATCTTTCCATAGTTACGTTAGTTTACCAGAGGGTATAGGGGATAAAACACATCATTAGTTGTGAGCATAGAATGGTGGTGTTTAATATGAGCGAGGGGGCGGGTTAATTATGTCCCTGCAGGTCTGATAATTAAAACCACACAAATCCTATAACTGATGGTTAAATCCCATTAGAATCATATGAAATCACTAACAAGAGGCTTCCAGTTGTTTTCCCCATAAACCTTATCAGAATCTCATTAACATCCCAAAAAAACATGGTACCGGGCGCCCCGAAGGAGACGTTCAAGGCCTGGTTGCCTCTTACAGACGCCACCAGTATCCCATGAAAATCCCTATCCCATATGCTCCATGGTGCTGGAATGGGTAAAATATAGCAGCACCATGGTTCGCATATGGGTATAATTAATGGTTGAATGGAAAAAATTGGTATATGGTAATGATTAAAAAAATCTGGTGGGTCTTGTGGAGCAAACATGGAGCATATGGGATAATTGATGGTGGTATTATCATTAATAAGTTCTCAAGGTTGATTTCTATGAGGTCATTAGCCCATGAAAAAATCCCATGAAAATAGTCCCATTGTAAATATGAAAATCGGGCAAAAATCAAAAAAGGATGTCTTATTAACATGGATTGTCCCTGGAAAATCTTATTTTTACATCCCATCAAAAACATCTCAAAATCCCCATGAAAATCATGGTTGAATCATTTCCGACCAGGTTTCAGTGCTTCGTTGGGACCCCCCACGAGGAGTTCCATGCCATAGGCGTCCGTGACGTCAATGTCCTGTGGACTTAGATGAGACGCTGAAGGATTTTCCATAGGATGTATGGCTTAACCAACCAAAATCATCCAAAGAATTGGTGGTTGAAAATCAAGAAAAACCAAGAATTTCATAGGAATTTTGGTATTATATGAATTATATATAATTATATGCTATGGATTGATATGGTATAATTAAGTCTAATTAATAGTTGTTTGATGATACATGGCTATGGGTTCCTTGAAGTTCGTTTTCGAAGTAATATAACAGTCAGGTTTATGGTAGATATATATGTATATGTATATGTATATGTATATGTATATGTATATGTAAATATATATATATATTATATTATATTATATTATATTATATTAGATTATATTATATTATATTAGATTATATTATATTATATTATACTACACTATATTATATTATATTATACTATATTATATTATATTATATTATATTATAGTATATTATATTATATTATATTATATTATATTATATTATATATCTGTAGTGAATGGGGGTTGTAAACAAATAAACATGAATGGCTGTGAATGATTTATGAAGTACTGGGACGGACCATCCAACTTAGTAACTTCGTACTGTTACAAGAGGGACTTCCTAAGCAACCAAAATGGACACCTTTTCTTCACCCAACATTTTCATCATGGGAAATCATGGCACTGCTCAGTGGTTCATAACTCTCCGCTAGGGTCAAACCACAGCAAAGTAGGGTTTATGGTCATCTATCCGCGTTGGTAGTACAACGGGAGAAAAAAAGACCACATGGGATGGGATGACCATTACCCCCTTTTAACTCTCTGGTAATTTCTTACAGTTTGCTATTGAAAATGGCCCGTTCATATCCATAGAAAGTTCGTTGGTTTACTTATTAAAGATGGTGGATTTTTCCATATCAATGGGAATTTCAGGATCCTAAAATGGAGGTACCTCCAATTTAGGATCCTGATATTCCCATTGACCATAGCTATTTTTTTCGTTTAGCAAAGGGTATGGGGTTTCCCAACCCAAGTTTCCACCGTGGCACCGAGAAAATCCGTGGAACAATGGTGAAACGGGTTGGATCTCACCGGTGTTTTGAACAAAAAAATGGTGATTTATTGCTGTTTCATGGGATTTCATGGTTGATCAATGGTTATATACCATTTAGTCCATCTATGGTTAATAATGGTTAATAATGGTGAATAATGGTGAATAGTGACTTAATGGGACTTCAAAATATGATTTAATGGATTATGAATGGGATATACCCTCTGGTAATTTGTTACAGTTTGCGAACTGGAAGCCATGGACCATAGATTTATAGATGTTTAAAAGTTTTTTACCTCTTAAAATTTGGAGATGTTCCAGTTCGCAAACTGTTAGTTTACCAGAGGGTACCTTCCAATAAACTAACATAACTATGGAAAATCACCATTTTTTATGGGTAAATCCACTATAAATGACCATTTTCAATAGCTATGTTAGTTTACCAGAGGGTACCTTCCAATAAACTAATATATCAAAAATCCACCAGAAATGTTGATCATGTTCCAATTGGAACCGATTGGATTTCACCTGTGTTTTCTATGGAATTCTGGAGGCTATTCTGGGAATGGGAGTACTAACCAATATGCCCAAAAGCCTCCTCTCTAAGACTCTAACTTGTCATGTTTCACTCCCCAATTCTGAGGAGTACGGTACCTATATCTATGGAAAACTACCCTATTCGAATAGGTAAATCATCATTCATACAGTATAAATCGTCTATCATTTATAAATTGGACATTTTCCAGAAACAAGACATTGATATGCCATGCCGGGCCATGCCGGTTTGCCTCCCAAAAATCTTCTAGATTCCTTGGCGATCTTGAACCCATTGTAAAATAAAGAAAATTTACAAAAAAAATCCTGCCTGCGGAGCAAGCAAACCAGCCTCCCTAACCTCCCAAAGATCTCAAATTTCTCCTCTTCCGTCCGCTGGTTGACCAAGTTTCTGGCGTGGTCGCCGTGATTGGGGGATTTTACGGCGACCAATGGCTATCCAAAGAAAACGGGGACATGGATCCTTCCGCGGTGATCCGGACCTTTGGAACAAGTGAGTTGCGCTTTTGAGAGGTTTGATCCGGACATGTTGAGAAGGTATACCACTTAGTGGTCTGGTATAAGTAGAACTTGTCATTCTTGGGTATGGATTATTCGGGGTCGTTGAGCTGCGAAAAATTCATGGGACTCGAGGATACAAAACCAACCATGGGATTCCAGGGGGCGCCAGTGGGACTCAGCGGAGCAGTAGCCTATGGAACCAGAAGTACAGGAATGCTGGCCTTGTGGTGGGAGATGGTGTGATTGAGTGATGAGATCTCCCCAAAAAAATGGCAGGTTAGGGGTCTAAGTCCCCCAGTGGTGGTGAGTTTCTTGATGAAATGTCTCATCTCCACCTGGAGGTTTCCGAAAAAATGGAGGGTACCCCTAGTTATCATCCAGCTTGGATTGGGATTTTCATGGATTTTCCCTTCTAAACCATCCAGCTATTGGGTATCCCCCATTGATGGAAACCACCGCGACGCACCTGGCAAAGGCATCTACCACTGATTCGATCTGCCGCACGCGTGTCAGGCACCTGTGGGAAGGCTCCGTTTCCAAAAAAAATCAAAGTTGATGTACAGAGTATAGGATCCAAGATGATCTAAGTTGGATCTAAGTTGGAAACTTAGAATTTGGAAATTCTGTGAGTTGAGAGTTGAGTAGGAACAAAAAGGTGATTCCAACCATAAATTGGTTTTATGTAGGAGAACACATGTTCACATTTAAGTCTGGAATTGGAAACATGTGTTTGATCACTTATTTTTTGGGGATTACTTTAAAAACAAACAAAAACAGATAAATCTAGGAGAATTGGCTTTAAAACACAAGGTTTTAGTGGGAAAAAAACATATTCACCTGGGATTTGGGTGGGAAACCCTCGAAAATTTCCCCACCTGGGCCGCCGTGGCCGTTTCGCCGCCGGCTCCGCCGCGCGCTCCGTCGACCGCTCCGACAACTCCGACAGCTCCAGCGCCTCGGGCGGCGTCGCCGGCGACGGCACGGCCTCGCCGTCCTCGGAGAACTTGCGCTTGCGGCTGTCGACCGGTGCCTGCGGGTTGGAACACCAAAGGGGAACTGTCGAATCTTTCAATGGATTGGATTAAGGGAAAATCTACAGGAAACCATGGTTTTAACCATCAAATATAGTGGTTTCCTGTAAATTTTCCCATCATCCAATTCTATGAATCTTGAAAAATCTAAGTATATGCTATCAATCCATCTAATAACTAGGGGCGAAGTGTTGATAAAAAATGGTGGATGTATCTGTTCATTAAGTTCATTAGAAAACAAACCATCAAGATAAATAGGGCCTTATGGGCGTTGCATTTTGGGTGCATGAACACCTGATGTCTACTCGGTGGTAGAACTGCATCCAAAAATAGAACACAACTCAAAAAACAACAAAAAATCTAATCCGAGAAAATTGTAATATCCAGGCAAATTGTCTGAATTCCCAAATCAAAATAGGCCGGCTAATCATCATCTATGCACTCTTTTGAGGTCTACAGCTTACCAAGAGAATCTTATTTCTGTAATAGATATTCATCCCAGTACCAGTTTTAATGCATTGTATTCCCCCATTCAAAATGGCAAACAAAAATGAATTCACCTACTTAGGTTTTTCCCAATCATTCCGCATCCCCGAATATACCGGAAGCATCCAAGGTTTACCCAACCATTTAGCCATAGTTTCTGCTGACATCCCCAGATGTTTCGTGGAATTTACCCCATTTCTGCTGGTAAAATCACCATGTGTTGCTGGTTTTATCTCCACGTGTTCCACAAAAATCACCACTGCTACTAACTCCCGCTACTGGTGTTTCACCAGCATTTCTGATGTTCATCTGTTCAAAACAAAGTTATACCCTCTGGTAAACTCACATAACTATGGAAAGATCCACCATTTTTCATGGGAAAATTCACTATAAATACTATAAATCATGATTTTCCATAGTTATGTCAAATTACCAGAGGGTATAACCATGTGAAATCCCCAGTGTTTCATAGTTTTTTCACTTCTCCTTCCGCACCCAGAAACGACACCCGCCGACCTTCAAGGTGGGGCTGGCGCTAGAAAAAGTGGGCGTCTCGGTGACCTGTAGCAAGGAACAAGGGGTTGATGCCATATATCATAATATTACGGGTTATATACCAATAGATATTATGTTATATATATATATGGGTAAATTATAATAATTCACTAACCTGAAATAAGGTCATTTGGGGATGATTTCCCTTACTAACCATCATTCCCAGTGAGGTCGCAGTGAGGTCGTTATGATTTGCCCAGATATATATATATATATGTATATATATACATATATATATACATACATACACCATATATATTCTGGTTGGTTACTACAATCTATCCATACATTCTCTGGCTGGTGGTATACTATACCATTAGAGTTATATATACCATATGATTAGAGTTTATATACCATATGATTGATCCATTATCAATTATCCTTTCCCCATAGATTACCATAGTTTTCTGGTTGGTGGTATACCTACCCCTCTGAAAAATGATGGAGTTCGACAGTTGCGATGATGACATTCCCAATATATGGAAAAATAAAATTCATGTTCCAAACCACCAACCCGCCATTAGATATAATGTTATTTATATACCATATAAAATTATATATATATACATATAGTCATATATAATTATATGTAATTATATATAATTATATATAATGTTAATGGGTTATAATATTGATACCATTATAACATTGTGGTTATATAATATCTGCTATACTTAGAGATCATGTTATATACCATGAATGTGGATTATCTACTATGCCTTGTGGATATACCATTTATACTATCATGATGGATATTCCATTCATGTGGGTAAAACAATGCCATAAACCACCCATGAATGGGAATGGTAACCATACCACTCCACCTATAAAAATCGTGATGACTGGGGGATGGTTTATGACATTGTTTTACCAACATTACGATTTATTCCATTACTATGTCTACAGTAATATTTACCAATTATATTTACTATATCATTATATATGTCATGGGGTGTATAATCACCAATACAGTGTATATATATATATGGGTATATGGTATCTGATATCTATGTATATATGTATATATTATGATGATGCTGTATCCCCATGTTTGATGATGATATACCAATACCATACATCTACAAGACAAAGAGGTATCACAGGTTACCATCTGTACTCCACTTGTGCATATTTGCCAATAAGTTCACCAACGAACATCCTTTCTTCATTATGTGCTCATCATATCTCCATGAAGAAACAGTGGACATGATGAAGAAATGGCCAGAAAATATGTCCAAAATGATGTGTTCATTATGAATGTTTCACCAGTGTTACCCTCTGGTAAACGTTAACAAAAAACTATGGAAAGATCCACCATTTTCTAGCTGGGTAGTTATCAACTATTTCTTTCTGGGCCATTCTCAGTAGCAAACTGTTGACATAACCAGAGGGTTTAGGGTTCACTACCTTTCCACCAATCATCCATCGGTGAACCCCCAGGCCGTGACAAAATTCACCCACCTCATCTGCTGAGTCCGGCAGCGTGGTGCTGCCAACATCCGCAAACCTCATCATGGCGGGCCACTGGGAAATCCAGAAACAGAAATGGCCATTGAAATGGGAAAAACATCCCCCATGAAGGTGGGAAAACGTAAAGAAATCCCATATAAATCTGGATGAAGTCATATTCTACAGTTAATTCACTTTTAACCCGAATTTTCAAAGGTTTTTGGGATAGAAAACTTCAGATTATAAGTGAATTAACCGTGGAAAATCCCCCACTTTAACCATGGAAATATCCCCCACGATAAATCTCTAGATATTTCCATGGCGAAAAGTGTCCACTCCAAGGCACTTCTTGGTCAGTTCCCGGCGCTGTTTTTTGGTGACCTGCGACAGGTACCATTCAGAAAAACGGACACATGAAATATACGGAAATATAGCACTGTTGTGGTTTATTATGGCTTATTATGGTGGTTTATTATAGTTTAATTTAATATATATATACTGGGTATAAATATATATATATATATATTACCCCCATACTAATAAACTGAATGCTTATTATGGTTTATTCAGCCGGAGCTAAAAATACAAATATCCGCCATAAAATCCACTTGGCTAGGTATAGACACTAGACATCTCTAGATCAACTTGTGTATCTAGGGAGAAATCGGGGCATCGCAAGCAGGGGTTCATTGCCTGTCTGGGTTCAAGCCAGGATTTAGTGAGGTTACCGAAAAAACATACATTCCCGACATGAATAAAGCAAGGATCACCATTGATTCGACTGGATATCACCAAAATAGCTGGCCCCTTAGATGGGGAACCTCAGACAGCTTACCTACCATTCACCACTTCGTCGCAGCCAGTTGGGTTTTCATGGCTAATCTTAGATACATTTATCGAAAAAGACGACGTGATCGCTGGTGAACCCAGGTTTCATGGCTGGTTACCCTCCATTCAGAAACTCATGGCCCAGGTATACTCCCTTGTATAACATCATTGAAATCAAAGAATCCGCTACTTGATAGGTTATTCCACTAAATAACTAGTTCATTACGCTGGTGAGTAAATTCCAAGTGGGTTAACCATTGAAGAAAACCCAAGCTACGCAACGAGTCGGAACATCTGGGAAGTTTTCTGGTCGGGCCTTCGAAGGCTTCAAATCCTCCTTCTTCATCGGCGGCATCCGATAGTCCTAGGCAGCGACGCCAGAATTGTGACTGCTGGGGGTTGGTTTCCCATGCCCATCAGAAAGAAATGCTGGAATAACCTATCCATCATAGGGATCACTTCTACCGTTTTTGTATTGATTTACATTTAATTG